GGTCTCCCTTGTCAGTTTGAGACTCATCAGTTTCAGTGCAGGTCACATCTACTGCAGCCACTTTTTCAATGACTTCCGTTTGTATGCCAAGTTTTTCAGAGGTCTTGGTCATTTTGAGCAGGACTAACACAGTGGGAATCAATGGGACATTACTGTGGGCTTTGGTGATTTAGGTTCCTCTTTGATTATAATTGGAGGCTCCTCGGCCGTTATCTAGGATATTAGTGACCATCACAGCTTCAGCTACTTTAGTAGTGTTTCCTGTAGAAGGCATTTCATCCTCATTTTTAGGTTCAAGTGATCCAGGGAGAGATTCCTTTAACAACTCCATGGCACTGGCCTGGAGGTCAGCTTCACAAATTTCAGGTTTCAAAGGGGCTGAAGAAATTTCTGTCCATTTAGGACATTTCTGTCCATTCATCTCTATGCTGTCTGCCTCACCTGGTCCGATGTTGCAATTGAGATAATTTCGGGTAAGTGTAACAGAGTTGGAATCATCTTGGACATCATCTGGGGCCTCTGGTGATTGAGGCTCCTTTCAACTGTACCAGTGTCATTTGGATGATCTATGATCTGTGTCATTTTTTCCTTAGGGTTGAAGGGTGAGTCCAAATATCTATCATAAAATCGTCCAGATCACAATCACTGTTCATCAACTCAGAAGGAAGATTTAAAAATCCCTTCCAAGTGTGTGACTCTGAAATGTGCTTTTCCTCAAATGTTGGGGAAGTTTAAAGTTGTCCTGCTTCATACATCTGACTATCACTGGTTCTTTGGCTTTGGGCATAACTTGTCTCTTTTGCAAGAGAGGAAAGAGGCTTACCTCTGATATTATTTTATGATGTTAGTGGCTGAACCGCCATCTTTGCTCTAACTGAAGGCATCTCAGGCTTGTTAGTTTATCCGGTTTCACTGTCCATAGAGCAGCACTGATTTTAGCAACTACAGCTATTGTTCTTCTGGTCAAAAATAATAATGTGTTTAAAACTTCTAATGTCTCTGTGTAAAATGTTAACCCACAATAGGTATCGCTTGGAGCTGTATGTTTGTGTGTTGTGTGTCAACTGGTTAAGTGTGATATGACCAAACTATGTCCAAGACTTCAGGTATACTCATGCACAATCCAAAGTAACTCTTTGTAATACTGTCGACATCCCCGACTGTTTTTAAAAAATATCAGGGTGTTGTAGTAGTAGTAGTAGTAGTAGTAGTAGTAGTAGTAGTAGTAGTAGTAGTAGTAGTAGTAGTAGTAGTAGTAGTAGTAGTAGCAGTAGTAGTAGTAGAAGATTCCTTTAACAGTTTAAATCTGGAGCAGTAGGCAGCTGCAGTGGAGCTCCTCCTGATCCTGAGCTAGAATCTAGGATTAACCTATTATGCAAGTTTGTGGTGCATTTCTGTCTTTATTATTTCTCATATTTTAACCAAAGTGATCAACCAGTTCAGTGAGAAAATTACAAACACACACACACAAAAATAATAAATTGTTGCTTTAAAGGGGTCCACATAACAGCTGCTTCCCTGCTGTTACATCCTGCCAAAGTGAAATCAGGCAGCAAAGCATTATGGGTAAACAAACATAAAGATGTTAGGACATAATGGAATTACGCCTGTGTATTGACAATATCATACTTGAAGGAAGTGTGCCTCGGGACATGTTGGAGTGTGTCACTGAGCTGTTAAGTCGACTGATGTCATCTTATCTGAACTACATATACTGAACCATATACTGTTATACAAACCTAGTGTGTGGTAATATACTAGGTAATTAGGTACTAGGTAATACTGTGGTAATTATACTTATCTATATTACTTATAGATGTTTGGTAGGATTGTGACAGAATACAACAGAGGCTCAGCTGATCTCATGTTACTTATTTCGCAGAAAAAGACAGAGATTGGACAGTAAGATGCACAGTGAACACATGCGTCAACCTCTAATAATATTAAAGTGATATAAAAGTTACTAGATACCACTGCTATTAATAACTCACTATCCTGTACTCTTTTTAACACTGCCAAAGTTGCTCTTAACTGATAAAGACTTGATTACTATTTGGCACAAACAGCCTCTCCAATAACTCGCACTCATTCATATTCAGGCAACATGACTGAAGTGTCTTGCCCAAATGGCTAAAGTGAGATATTTTTTAACATACTGTACACACATACAGCAATATTTATAACAAATTAATACCTAAAAATAAATGCACAAACTACCTTCTACTATTACTAAACCATTTCCATTCATTGATTTTGCCATGTCAACTCACTGAAAATGTGAAAACACCCAACCTATAGCCAGACAGCCTTGTTTTACCCCTTATCTATGCTTTATTCATGTCTTATCATTTATACTCTCCATAGCATTACAAAGGTCAAACATTCAGTGAAAACTTCCTGTATCCAGATCTTGCGAGCTTGTATCTTCTGACTCCCCCATTCACTTTTTCTGTAGTTAAAATGCACGGCATGCATCGCTGTGTCTACATCCACCGGATATGTGACATGTATTATTTAACCTGTATCAAAAATTCATGCAAAATCCCTTTGGTGGTAAACATCTATGTCTTTTGAGAGCAACAAAAACTTGCAGAAATACAGTAAGTAGACTACACCAATCTAAAGCCTAAGGCGAGCTACATAGCACTTTTGCACTTATGCAGTGTTGATAACTTGGCCTAGATACAACAATATGGATTATTCGTATCCCCGCTTCCCTCAATGATTTGACGCATCGTGGAGCAAGGGCTTTCTGAGTTTGTTGGTTATGTAAACTGTAAAATGTGATACTAGAATGAGATTGTGCTGTGATAAACATCAAATCAAAGTTGTAAAAAAAATCCTAAGTGCAGGTGTAATCCAAAATTGTCACAGACAAAAGACAGGGCAAAATAGCATATTACGTTGGAAATAAAAATAAAAGTAGTCAGAAAATCAAACTTTTGGTTAAAAAAATACTAAAATGCCATAAACAATAGGACTTTGTATTACATGGAAATTTTAAAGTCCAAAACTCTTCCAGCTATGATACTATTTAGAGCAAAATTTCATTGTAGACCCATCACTTGTGAAAAGACACTACATGTTTAATGAAGCAATTACCTGAAAGCATCCGGAGGCTATGAATGCAAGTGGCCATTCACACAGACAGCCCAAACCATAACAATCCCAGTGTGGGGGTTCGTGGGAGTACGGTTAAGTAAGCATGCCGTGCCAAAAGAGGGCCTATAAGAAATCCCTCTTCATTTCTTTGACGGCTGCAGATTATGACGGGAATGCTCTTTAAACTTCTAACAAGATGTCGGAAGAGCTCCCTGACAGAGCTGTGATTGGGAATAAGTGGCCGAACAGTATGCTCTGTCAGACTACATTAGTGTAGAGCCAGAGTGATGCTGAAATGCTGCTGTTATTGTAGGGCTGGTGGGAGGCTTTACTCTGATCCGCTGAGGAACAAACTGGTGCATTATGGTCCAGCTGAAATGTGAATGCCATTGAATGGTATTTTAGGAAAAGATTTGAAGACGAGATTTAGACAAGAATAAACCTTTTATAAGCATAATGAATTATGCCCTGAGCATGCACACTCCAGTGTGTGAGGTTATCTACAGCCTCCCTCAATGTGGCCACATTTAAAGGTATGCAAATTCACACAATTTTATAGAAGCTACGCAGTGTAAAAAATAGTAGAACTTGGTAAAAAGTTATATTTTTGCAAGTAATAATTGCTTAGCAACAGCAATATGTCTCAAAGATAGTAACTTATATTATGTATTATGAAGCATGTACCTGGAGATCCCTGGTTTGAGTCCATGTGTCAATGAAATATATATATCTTGTAGAGTGGAGGATGAACGCTGTAACAGAATTATCTAGCTCGGTAGATCTCAAACTTTTCATACCAAGTAAAGCTAAAGATCAAATCTTTTTTTTTTTTTTTTTTTTTTTTTTTTTTTGATTTGATTAAAGATAGAAGAGATATGGCTTTCTGAGTACCACCAGATCTAAACCAGGTCTCTAACAGGACTATTCTAGGTCTAATCTGGGGCTAAATCAGGTTTAAAAGTAGACTACATCATTTCTACTGTAGTTCTAAACAAGAAATGATCCAAGTGAAGACAGAAGTGTATAAAGTGAACTCTAAATGAGGCAAACCCACAAACTGAAAAGGTACTATGTGAAGGAGCTCATGTACTCCCAGTGATACATGTATTTACCACAGTTTGAGAAACACTTAGACACTCAGTATTTTGAGTTTTATGATTCTGAATTCTTACCATATTTCCGGTAAAGCTGTTCTACCTCCCTTTCTGTTTCAGGAAAAACACAGAGGAGGCAGATGACAGTCATTTGAGTAGGCCTACATACCTCAGAGATCATGAGGGGTTTTCCTGACAGGGCTGTGATCTGCTCATGTGGCTGTTCATGTTTACAGTCTAAAATAAGCACATAGAAGGTTTATTTTTAGACATTTATTGATTTAGGTGAATTATGTCGCATGAATTGACTATAAAAATAGAATGAACCTTGTTCAACCTGTAAGGATGTACACCCATAAAGATGATTGTTTTGTGTCACGGTGAGCTGGTGCTGTGTTGAGGCTCTTGATTAAATTATTACTGTTACCTATTCTTGATAAAGGTGCAAGGAATTGCTAAAAATGTAGCCACCATTTAAATATGCAATGATAATATTGTATTTGTCTGGTCTACAACAAATATAATGCTAGCTTATTTAATTCGCCCTGGAAATACTTGGCCTCTGCTAGCTCAAATTGAGGGAAAAGAGGCCTGTAGTATAAAAATCAAAACAAATGGACAGTATTGATGAATTGTGCCTTGTAACATAAAGCTAGGGGTGCTGTTTTAGTAAAAGCACATGTTTTGTAGTTTGTAGCTTTTTACCTCGTTGATATCTGGAGTGCCATATTGGTGCAAGAATCCTAGACCTGTGCCAAGTGAACACGTGACGCACATGTCTACGCCCATCCAAAAAAAAAAAAAAAAATCATGCTTTACGGAACAAGGAAGTTGTGCACCTGTTCTTCCACTTCTCTGCACCTGCTTTCCAGTCATCTGTAAGTATATTAGTTTTATCTGTTTATCCCAGCCTGCTTTTTCGCAAAGATATTGGCGCTTTGTCGATTATGCGTAACAAATACGTAATTACGCACGGAGAAAACGCAACTTAGCAGATGGAAACTTAACTTTTCTCTCAGAGGTCCTGCGGTCGGCGCCTGTCATTATGATGGTGGACACCGAGGAGGAGAAGGCAAAGGGGACCGAGGGTCAGATAGAGCATCCCCTGAGCACGGTGGAGATCGCGCAGGAGACTGAGAATGAATCCTCTACAGAGGAGCCCAAACAGCGGCCTGAAGAGAAGACCAAAGCGCCCCGGACCGCAGAAATCTACCTGCCCGACGGGGAGACAACTCTGCCTCTGTTCAAGATGAAGAGGTTTCTAGTGCTACGGGTAAGAAACAATAATGCACTTAATAATACTGTCTTTTTTATATTGCACCACGTTAAATTCACATCGCTTTGGGAAGATGCTGCGTTTTTTTGGGAAACACATTACAAAAATTGTCCTGTGATTGTGACGCTTCATAAAAAAGAGCCCTGTTGCAGATATTACCAACAGCACTTTGTGAATGCCCAGTTTGGTCTGATCTGTGGAGTTAAGTAGGGTGGAGCTGGTTTCTACTGGGATGGGAGGCTTTTGGGAATACCAGATGACAGGTTCCACAATGGAGCAGCTGTTTTTCAGTTAGTACTGTTGTTGTGTCTTTGGGCAAGGCTCTCTACCCGCCTTTTCTCTAGTATCCTTGTACCCTGTATGAATGGGAGTGCTTGTTTGGAAATGGAAATGAGCCCATGGCAACAACCCTGTGTGTTTACAGCAGACATGTCATGTCATTATAACAGCATTTTATTTATTTGGGGGAAGATATATTTTCATTGGCATTAACAAATCAAAGGTTCTTAGAAAACCCTGTCCTGAATTTGGACACAAAGACGACGGCATTTATTGTTTATTGAAATAAATTCCAGTGTAGTGAATCAGCAGATCCTCCTCTCTCAAAGTATATAGTATCACTTGGGAGTGTACTTTGGGGCAGGTTTTGAATACTTTGACTTCTGACACAGTAATGCACGCAGCTCAGACTTTTGGCTGAACTATGTGACTGGTCATTTTCTGTTGGACATAGGCTGGACAGAATGTTGGATTTCTTCTTGAAACTTCATTAAAAAAATATTTCATATCTATTTCATCTTCAGAACAGGTCCAATGCTTAAGCCTAACACGGTTTACCTTGCTCTTTATCTGAGCTGCCTACTTTGCATGTTTCATTTGCTGTCATTCTTGTTGGCAGTGGTTCATGTTTTGCACATGGTTGTTTTGTTTGTCCTTTAGTTGTACTAGTCCCTGTTGCCTGTCAGTAAAGGTTGTGTGGATGTGTTGTGATAGTGGTGAAGTCGCACTGGTGTTTAATATCACTGTGTTTTGTCTCCTCAGCCGGGCACTCTGAACCAGGCCATCGCAGACATCACTAAGCTGGTGGACAAGCAGATGGACGGCAATGTTATCGGAGTGTGGCTTATGGCAGAGTAAGTGTATGGGCTCAGTCAAATGTTCACTTTTCTCACAACAGTTTTAGCTGTCCAGTATATTTCAGTCATGTATTTTTTTTAATTGTATTCCAAATATAAAGGTAACTAATTTTTTTCACTTAGCCTAGTTTTTATTTTTGAAACAACAACCTTGTTACTGACAGGCTGAACCTCTGCCACTATTCACTGCCTAGAAAATAAGTTAAAGTAGAATGCAGTTCTGTCAGCATATAAGTAACTCAAGATCTCTGACCTTGTCTAACCTAAAGCATGAGCAATAGACTAATCCTCCAGCTAGGTACTCCTTTAAGATCGTCAAGAAAAATGGGTCGATTCCCTTGAATGTTTGTCTTAGTGACACTGGAGTTCACCTTTACATTCAACTTTGTCTAGTGTTGATGTTGATCACAGTGTACAGTGGGTCCACCAACCAGATCTCATCACATTAAACAAGTCCACTGACAAAGTCAATGCCTAACTATTACTCACTGTCAGTATATTTTAGGTAAAAACATATAAGCCATTACAGTTATGCCCAGTTTTGATCTTCAAAAATGCCACAGAGGTAGGCAGTAGTGAAATTTTTCCTGTCATTTCCCAGCGTTGTGTGGCCTTAATTACCCTCTCCCTACCCTCTAAGAACATGCTCTCAGTTTGCTGAGGGCGAGTGATCTAACTGACTGCAGCATGGAGCAGAATGAGGAGAGATGTTACCAAATGCACTTTGAGATGTCAGCTCGTATCAGTCCAGGCCCAGCTTTCAGGAAACATTTAGGAGGCGGCCCGCGTGACAATGAATAAAACATGTTTATTTATGCTGTGCTGTCCGACACTGTGCATGTTTGTCCTACATTTGGCCCACAGTAATCGCCACTGCACAAGCTGCTGAGGGAGTCTCAGCACACACAGACATAAGGGCATTATATGATAATACAGTGAGACTGCTCAGTGGCCCCAGGGAGCGCACTGTGACTAATGCATGTTCAGCTCCATGAGGCTCACATGTGGCTTTACAAACGTAAATGATACCAGATCTTCTATCTATTTTAGAATAATGGTTCATTCATCTGATATCATATTTATTGTAATTTGGATGTAATTAGTGTATGCATTTAAGGCATTACAAACTGATTAATTTCTGGGAAAATTCAGAGATCACAACTGCGCCACTGTTATCATGTCCTCTCTTTTATCACTGTAACACCTCTAACACTGTCCACACCACTCTTTGTTCACTCAGGTTTGGTTCATTTCAATGGCTCAGTCCTCTCTCTCCTTTCTCACCTCTCCGTGCTCACTGAACTGGGTGTTTCAGCCAACAGCCACCATCCTTCCCAAATGATAGACTTAGTAGTAATAGTAGTTTATTTTCTTCAGTCGATTAACATAATCATGTATCATATAATAATGATTTAACAAAACAAAAAAACAAAAGACACAAAAGAAAACAAATTATTCAATTAGTGCATATAAATAAAGTTATTCTGTAGACCGAAGGGGTTTAGACTGAAGTTTAACACTTGTTTTGCCAAACCCTATTAACATATAGAACAGGATACAAGATGGCAGAACTATTTACAGAAAACAACAACAACAAAAAAATCCTCTTTTATGAGAGCAGGAAAGTAAATGTCTCAAATGTTATAGTGTACACTTAAACAATACAGAACACTATCCAAATATATGTTAATGTTCATACACTAATACTTCATAACATACACTATATCAGGGGTCTCCAACCTGTAGCTCGGGAGCTACCAGTAGCTCTCCACCCCCTTCCAAGTAGCTCGCCAAGGGATTTCTGAATTTCCCGTATTGTGCTGAATAAGTAAAATTTGATTAATTAAATGCCTAATACCGCTGCACATGTGTCATTTTGATGCCTAACTTTGTACACTAATAAATGGATAATGGTTTATGTTTTATAGGCATTTAATTGTACTTCCTCTAAGGCTCAGCCTGGCTCTTATATATACTAAATTTCTTGTGGCTGCTAAAACTAGTAGCTCTCGGGCATTTTCTTTCTGTAAAAGTAGCTCACGGGAAGAAAAAGGTTGGAGACCTCTGCACTATATGATTCATATCAGTTGACTACAGTGAGGCTACTCAGAGGAAATCTATACCAACTAAACTCTTGATAGACCTCTAAGGTTAGGGCAGTGCCTCTCAAGTTGGGGTGTGGGGCCCCCTTGTGGTACATGGGCTGCCTCTGGTACAAATATTTAGCCATTTTTAAGTCCTGATCTAAAACTGTGAATTTGTCTTTTTGTATGTAGGTTTACACCTTATTTAGATCTTGTTAAGTCTAGGTAAAGACCCGGTGTCTAATCCCTGTTAAGGTGTGTTTTAGGCCTGGTGGGTCCTATTTACTTCTTGTTTCATTGCAGTTTAAACATTTTTAGTTCTAATTTATGTAATTTTTTTTGTCCTGGTTTTGCCTGGTTTAACCCTGCTGTTGTTGTCAAGATTCAGAGCTGGTTAAGTCGTGGGTTTGTTGAGATTGGAGGTCATTGATGCTTGGAAAGTCAAAATATTTTCTAAGGTGGTAGTAGGAGTTGAGCTTGTAATTATCCTGTGAGTTATTAAAAAGAATCCATGCTTTGAAATGTGAGAGCTTCAGACAGGAGTTCTTGTAAAGTTGTTTATCATTTTCTCTTGAGGGATTTGGAGATGCTTTGTTGCATATTGTAGATGTTTGCCAAAGGCAGTTTTGGGAATCTCAGCCTTTCACTCCTACTCTTTTACATAATTGAGCGGCTTTGTTTTAAATTATTTTGTATTAAGTTCATATGCACCACACCTCATACATCCTTCTTTGAACAGAGATTGAGTTCACAAAGTCATAGAAATCTCACTTTTCACACAAGGCAATAGCTTTGTTTTTAAAGATTATGTTGAACAAATCACATTTTCTTTACATATCACATGTATATTACATACATGTTTGGCAAAGCTGTTTTCTTTCCACGTGTAAACAGTATGTACTCACTTTTCAGTTTAACACAAAAACACTCAGATAATATTCAAATGTATATGACCTTCTAAAGTAGGTTTGTAAAAAGTGAGGTTTGTCATTCAAATGATCTCATTGTTCTGTCAGTGCAGTCTCAAGTTAGCCTGATTATCAGCTGGTTTCACTTCGTGGAAACCGTCATTTGCTCGATGGTTGTACTTTTTTTTATTTAACAATTTTTTATCTACTGCTATTTGGTCATGACGTATGTAATGCACCACTAACTGGCTAACTGGTATATTAAGCATTTCCCAAATCCCATAGGAAGAAGGGCAATAACGTCTTTCACCAAACATTCTCTTTGTTCCGGCTTTAAATCCTCGATCTCAGGAATCGTTTCCAACACAGAACTTATGGCTCTTCGCTGATTGGCTGGTGCCAGGACTCGCACTTCTGGGGTTCTTGCAAACCGTGTAGGGCAGGGGTGTCAAACGCAAATTCACAGAGGGCCAAAATTAAACTAAGTCGTGGGTCAAACTAAATATGTATTGAAACATTTCAACAACATCTGCATGTTTTCTCTTCTTTCGAGATACATGATATTAAATCTTTTCTTATTAAAATAAATGTTTAATAGTTTTTGTTTAAACATTGAATCCAGAACAAGCATAACATAAAATAATAACAAAATTGTAAATAAATAATGTCTCCATAGCTTATCTGTAGGTGGCAGACCAGCTCTAATACATATTTGATATGATCTCGCGGGCCAGATATAATTATATTACGGGCCTGAGTTTGACTTGTCTGGTCCAGTGTATTCCGATTCATGACCTTGTCGCTGGAGAGAAATGAAACTGAGCGGAGGCACTAGGTGGCGCCAGTCTGGCTAGTCTCAAGTGACAAAGAAACAAACCACAGTATCTTGCTATGTGACTATATTGAACAACACAACTCAACATTTACAGGTTTGAATTTTGTGTTTTATGATATTCCCTTGTCTTTTCCCATATTTTTTCATAATTTAGTGTCAATAATTGTAATCACCAGAGTAAGTCAACACAGCACAGTACTGAAACACCCAGAGTTAAGTTGTTTTCTCCTTCCGTTTCAGAGTGGACCACTGGAACAATGAGAAGGAGCGTCTTGTGATAGTAACGGAACTCTCTCTTCTCATCTTCAAATATGACTTCCTCATGTTCAACTGTGAGCAACTGCACAGAGTACCCCTGCACTTTGTGGACCGCATCAGCTACGGCAACTTCAGCTTCCCCAAATACTCAGTGCTCAAGTAAGTCCAGTGTAAAGTAGGAAATGCACTGTCTAAGATCATGTCCGAGATGTTGTTTGCAAAAATACAGGGCGATTGTACTGTAGGCGTAAAGGAGTAAAGTCTTGTTTCTGTGCTATTATGACAAATTTTACAGTCCTTTGTCATTACTGCAACAGCTGAAACTCAACCCAGACTTTTCAGCATGTTTTACCTCACTTCTAAGCATATCTTGTCATGATCAGTATCAGGACAGTAAGAAAAAATATATTCTTTTTTGTCTACCTCCTACACCTGCTGACCCTTCCAGGTTTGAAAATTTCAAGGCATAATGCTAAATGCTAACCAGTGTTCTGTAAAATTAGCCCTATAACTTTTTTAAGTGGGAAATGTACAGGATTATGTGCATCACTGGAAATTATAATGTGCCTAAAACTAGTGCTAACTATCAGTAAGTTTTTTGAAATTAGTTTTTTGGAGTGCCTGCAATTTTCCTCCATTAGAACTTTAAATCACAGATCTAAAAATGGCACTTCCAATAACCCTTCATCTTCACCTTGAATCAAATTTTCTTTTAAATTATAGTATTTTTCCTACTCCTTTCTTGGATAACCTCCAGTAACTTGTCTCCACCCTTGGTTTGTAATTTTAGACCAGATGCCCCTACGAACGCTGTGCCATTTCCAGTTGAAAAATAAATTGAAAAAAAACGACTTGATTTCAGAAGACTAATCACACAGCGCTGATTCGATGAAAAACTCACCCAAAGCTTTTACCTGACTTTTCCCTGACCATAAGGTGGTACAGGTAACAGACTAAAAAGCACAAAGTGAAGTTTGTAGAGACACCCTTTATTTTCTCATGTGTTTCTTCTTCTTCTGTAACTATTTATTCCTGCACTGAGTCAGGGTCATAGAGAGTTATAGCTGATGTGTCTGCTATATCGCCCCCTTGTGCCAAATGTTTGGATAGACTCAAATGTATTAAGCAGTACTCACTATAATATAACACTATAAGGGTGTTATGGTGTTGTATTCCCCTGGGCCAAAATGAATACTCATAGTCACACCAAGGGCCAAATATCATTTTTACATGCAAATCAGTTTATATTGTATAATAAATTATCCGTGATTCTTCTCTTTAATTATTGTATTGTTTTGGGGAACTCCTGCCAACTAGACACTCTAGTGAGTCAGTGCAAAGTTGAACAAAATTACATTTTTGCAATATGTCTCTGCAACCCCTCACAGGCCAAATCAAATCCCTTTTTTAATTTGCCAAAAAAAATCTACAAAACCAGTATCAGGTTTTGCTGGTGAATCTCATGATATGGGTGACAAGACTGAAGTGGCTCTATAAATTTCACAATTGGAAATGAAATTGCGTTTTGAATGCTCTATGTCATGTCCTTTTGAGCCTACTGTCAATCCACTAACTTTGCCCTTATTATCTATATTAATCATAACTTTCCCACCTCCATCTCCTCCATCCGGCTGCTTCACCCGCTGGTGCCAGGTGCCAGTAGAAAGTGTTGGGGGAGTGTATTTTTAGTGTTGTTGTGTTGGCTCTCTCCAGGTGCGCCCCTGAGAGCAGCATCTGTGGAGAAAGATGTGTTTTAAGTGCCTTCTTTGCAAAGCGTCTAGACAAACTAATTACCCAGAACACCATCCAAATTCTGAGTCCTGCCTGAGAAAGAGAGAGAGAGGAGGAGGGAGATAGAGAGAGAGTAAACAGAAAAATGGAGAGAGAAGGAGAGAGAGGGTGTGGGCCTGTTTGTTTCTTCACTGATGCAGAAAAATATAGATAACGTTGGGAATTGGACCAGCACTTGAGGCTTTGTTTTATCTCCACCTGCATCGAAAATTATTCCAAATACAATTGGCTAGAGGTCTCAAACTATCGTACGGTCTAGTTTTCGTTTACTACTGTATATTGTAAATTTAAAACAGTTAAACAGCAAATTCCACCATCAAATTCTGACCTGCCCTTCTGCTTAATTTTGCTCTATATAGAGACTATGCTAGAATATTGTATGTAAACCCAACAGATTCATATAAGAAGTACATTAATCCTGGTTTAGTCCCATTTCAGGCTTGGTTCTTGATTATGAATCCCGCTATAGATCTGGATTTGATCTGGCTGTACTCACAAAAAACAAAAAAAATCCAAAGCTATTGACATTTTGAAAAATACAGGAGAAAAAAAACACACATGATGAATGACATAGTTTGCAAAAAATTAACTTCTTTCTAATATTAAAATCATTCGCACAATCACATGATAGCGTTTTGCCTCTTTCTGTTTACTAAGTTTACGAAGATGGAGTAGTTTGTGTTTTCCCCCAAAGATAAATACTTCTAGTACTAATAGTTTCTCCTTTTGCGGTCTGAAAATCAGGTCCCCCAGCTTACATTTTTACACATCTTTTACTTATCTACTGGATTTTAACTGAGTATCACACACGAACAATGTACCTTTTGTTGCCTTCCACTCTGACCGCTCTTGTGAACATCAGCGCAGATATTCAACTTGACCAGCAGAGGGCAGCCACCACAAAGCAGCCTATAAGAAAATAAATTTGCATATCACACACACTGCTTCAGAGCCTTATCTTCAGAGACTCCTGCTCTTTCAAAAAACTATAAATCAGGTCAGTCAGATAGAACGGTCAAAGCAATAGATTTAACGTGTAGATTTTATGTAATTTTCTTCTATATTGATTTTTGTTTCTCAAAAAGCAGTCTAAACTTGAGAAGGCAGCCGTCTAGATATAAAGTTATAAGTCAGGTGTAATATTTTGGTGGGAAAGTGCCCATGGCCATTCCCATAAATTGTGTAGAAGGAAGAGGAATAGCAGAGGCTGTTTTTATGTTATTCTAAGCTGCAGCCTCCTGATTTCTTAAAGGTGCACTATGCAACTTTTTGGTTGGGGGTCTGTCACCTGCTTGTTTCTGTTCATATTTCATTCCTCTGACTGGAACTGAATGGAAATTAAACAGCTCTGCCTTAAATTTATTAAACTTTATGGAGTTTTATAGCTTAAATATGAATAAGAGGCATTCTGACTGTGAGCGGGGGTTGCCTCTCCACAGATCTGACCTGTAACTTCTCCATGAAGATAGAAATGTTTAATATCACTGTGAAACTGCACAACACTCCAGACAGCATCACCATGGAGAAAAGCATTTGATGCGGCTCTCCACCAGAAAAGTTACACAATGCACCTTTAAGCCATTGGAGTGAAGTACTACGAAGACATTATAGGCTTTAAAAAGACAAAGAGCTTTAGCGTATTCCAATAATAGCGTCACATCTGCAGTAATGTTGCATGTGGCAATGTAAATGGATAAAGGTAAATGTGGCTAGAGTTGTGTCGTAGTAGAATAATGTTGTAATAATACTAAAATTTACTAAGGAATATCAATACTCAATACTGATTCAGATACTACAATGAGAGTAAAAAACACTCTTTATTTAGACAATAGAAAGTAATTTTCAACTTTAAAGCATACTTCCTTTTATATTACCATGAAGTTTTATATCTGTGTAATCCCTCAGTCATCCATGTAGGTTCCATAGTCATGGGTAGGGCCATGGCTCATAGGGTAGGGAAATTTCAAATTGCCTAATGTTCGAACTACCCGTTAAAGATTCTGTGTGTCTGTATGTGGTGTAAAACTCTGTAACAGTCTGGATACACATCTCAAGCAATGCCAAAATATCTATAAATTCAAGTTGTTATATAAACATATGGTCTGCTCACAGTATATAGAGAGTGCGTCATAATATTAGAACAATACTTCCTTCTGTAGTGCTGGTTTGTGCCGTCCATTGCATTACTTGTATCTGTTACTGTTGTCTGTATCCTTAACCTTACGACTGTTGGTATGATTATGTTATACTCCCAAACTATAACAGCGACTCTTTGTCCGCACTTGTAAATAGTGCATATAGTTTAATTCAAAATGTCTGAAAAATGCAAAAGATAGCTCATTGTGTTAGACTGGAAGAGTGGGGGTGGGATTAAATACATTTTCTTCTTCCCACTCCTTTTTGGGAAAATTTTTTGTTGTGGTTATTTTCATTGCTATTATGATTTCACTTATGTTATATGTTCCATTATATAAGTATGTAATTCTCTACTTGCCCAAAATAAATACATAAATACAAATATAATAGTGGTCCATGGGCGTATACAAGTATATGCACTCTTATACTTGTTCTGATACAGCTCAAGATCATTCTAAATCTATTCAGGAAAGGTTCATTTCTGTCCTTTTGATGTGAATTTTTTAGTATTGATACCTGGTCATCTAGTTTTGGAGACTTATTTTATTAACCCTACATTACAGTTTCGTAATTGAAGTCAAAGATGTGGGGAAAATTTTAGCTTTGTCATCCATTAGAAATAAGATAACAAGCTGCAAAAAGATTAGATAAAGATCAGATACATTTTGCGAATTTTTATGGACTTTTGTGGTTAATTGTACTGCTTCATTTGTGCTTCATCAGTAATTTACAATAATAACAACAATGTTTATTGATTTGAAAACTTGATTAGGTAGGGCATCTGGCATAATCTACTTGTTAAATCTGTTGTGAACCTGTGAATCACTGCTCTCTTGGGAAGCCATGGGATTTGCTATGACAACCCCTGAGGGAAAAGCAAAGAGGAAAGAAGGAGCTGGTAAACTTGACAGAGTCCTGGAGGTGCAGCAGTGGGAGCCAATGGGAGCGAGACCTGATCCGGTTCAGTTTGACTTTCAGGTTGTTCTGTGATGGGACCAGGCCTTTGGGCATTTTTGAAACCAGACTCTGGCACTGCGAAAGCACTCCGACCTGGGAAACTCGACTTCCCAAATGACTGAATGAGAAATTATAACATCTGTTTAAACCGCAGCCTTTATTCCCAGGAACATTAAATAGTCTGTAGCTGATTTTAATTAATTTTTATCAAGATAAATGCTCTTTACTTTATGTACTCTGCACTATGATTAAAGCTGCTAAGTAAGAAAAATTTT